GGGAGCTATTTAAAATATGTAAAAAAAAAGTGTTTCTATTTTAGTGTTTTGGCCAACCGATGTGTTTTCATTACTCTTCAAACCCGACGAAGGCGATGGATTGCAAGCAGTATATGGCCTAGTTAAAGCTTCATCTCCCAATGCCATTTGGTTTCGAACACCAAATAAGAAAAGAGTTGAACCATTCAAAATATTGTGAACAAAATGTGAATTTTCTGATTCATTTGGAGAATCAAACTTTGTGATTAAATTACGTTATTCACAACATTGTGTGAATAACACTCGATTATTATTTATTTAACTAATTTTGGACCAAATTGAATCAAATGCCCCTTTTTTTTGCATCTGCAAAACAGTTTTAAGAAGTTTTTGCAGTGGGTCAAAACTGTCAAGTCAAGATATATGGGTTTGTGTGAGACAGCCCAGAATCTCTTGATTTCAAACTCCTGTAATCTTTTGACGTTGTTTAGAACGGTGAACAGCAACAACAACTTGCATTTATGTAGCGCCCTTCACCCGGAATAGAGTCTCAGAGCGCTGAATAAGAAATTTATTTCTTTAGAATTTTGTAGTTAGCTTTTTCTGAAGTTGAAGAATACGGCGTCAGTCAGTAATTTGTGTATGGTGGGCCAAAGGAGAAGTCTCAAATAAGATTTGGCTCAACTGCCTACAGTCCAGACAGGTTCCTGCAGATCTTTTTGCAGCCCCAAATTCCACCTCATCTTACCCTGTAGCATCAGTTTGTCTTAAAATGTAAGATTATGCAGAACTGTGGAAAATTCTTAAATTCACTCTTAATTTGAAAGCTGATCCTTTTTATGACATCTGGAAAAACAGCTTTCAATTATCCACAATTCTGTGCAACCTTAATGCTGCAGGCAAAATGGTCTTTACGGTCTATGATCTCGGTTGGACGTTAGGTTACTGATTGCTGAGAAGTTGAGGAGAAAAGGGTGGATTGGTAAGAAAAGTGAAAGCTTGAATCAAGATCTCGTTAACAGCCAACTCTCAAATAGAAAGATAGGGTGCCCATGTACATTTGGTATGCTTTCATTACATTATCGTTTGGATACCAGAATGGTCCGGTTTGGATACTCTTAAACACGTTAATGGGTTTCCTTCGTGTGTCAAACACCCCCAAAAATTGCATACGCTATTTTAAAATGATAATAATACTAATCCTTGCATTTGATACAGCACCTAATCACGTTGTCGAGATGTCTCAAAGCGCTTCATAGGATTTACAGTAAAGTGGAGGACTGTGTATTTTGTGGATGAAACATGGCATCCAGTTTGTGCACATCAATGTCTCACAAACAGCCAGGGAGTGAGTGAACTCTTATTTGGGGCCAGGATACCGGGAGAGAGAAACTCTCTTCTCGAATAGTGCCATGGGATCTTTGATGTCCACCTGAACAGACAGACATGACCTGGGTTTAACGTCTCATCCGAAGGACGGATAAAAATATGTCGCTTTCATTACTTTTCAAAATGTCTCCCACCCCACTGATTCTAAAATCACCCCGTGCCCTTTCTGTGTGTCTGTCATGTCCCCTACAAGCTCTGCATCCCTGATCTCCCTGTTACCTGCTGCACATCACTGGGATCTGCTGCCCTCTCCAGGTCTGTGCTCGTTCCTCTTCTCAATTCTGCGCTTTGGCAGAGATTCCTCTACTCCCTCTCCATGTGTGCGAGCTCCCCCCACTCCACACACGCACACACATACACCTCTAATTCATCTAATCAGTCCGTCAGTGTTTCTCGAAGGTCCACTTTGCTATGATCTTTGAGTACCCTGAGATACATCTATTCTCTATCTCCAAAATTACCATTCACAACCCTGAAGATCCCTCTTCTCTCTTTGCCTTTGAGATCTCCCACTTCATTATTCTCATCCCTATTAACCTCCTTCACTTCTCCATGCCTCCAAGACTCCCTGCCCTCTCATCCACTTAGTCAACATTCTAGTCCTGCTTTCATTCTGCCTGTTTCTGATTCTCTTCGTGTCATCTAGCAATGAAGTCTTGTATTTAATGAAGCTTCAGTTTCATGTCATCTTGAGACAGGTCTCATCTTTACAGGATGCCAGGAAGTGTGATCAAACCCAAGATGCCGGACTCGCTTGAAAAAACAGCTTGATACTAAGGGGAGGAGGGAAAGATGGGATTCTGATGAAATCAAATGGGCCGAATGGACTTCTTCATCCAAATAAATCTTGTGATCTTGTGTTTTAGCTGATTAAACCCCAGCAGTATGCCAAAGCATACTTTGGATCCCCAAGCTTTGCTCTTGTCAACCTGCACCTAATACTCTCCGGAATTATGTAAGCAGGATGAGGGAGGGAGATAGTGTGTGCACTCAATTCCACAAGACGCAAGGAAATTTCCATCTGTAGGTAGCCTACAAATATGGTATTTTCAGTCTGGTTTGGGTACTCTTTAAGGACGGTGATGGGTTTCCACACGTGTGGGACACCCGTGTGACCCGAAACCCCCCCAGCTTTTTGATAACATTAAAAGTGTATTTTGCAAATGCACAGGATGCTCAGGTACAAAATGCCCAAATTGGGTCTGTTTATTTGTTTATTTGTTTATTTCCGGCTCGCTTAAAATGCATGTTACTTGGACGGACTAAATTGGGCTTCCCACTCCACAGCAAAGATGATTCCCTACCATCACAATAACCACAGTGATAAAAGCTGTTTAACTGAGGAATTTGACTCCAAAACAGCTGCCATATTTCATGGACTAATGCCTCCCACTTTGTTCTTCAAAGGTACGTTTGAGGGTTATCTGTGTAAGGAAAGTCACCATTGGGGAAATGGAACAAAATTCTGTTTTTGGATGTCACCACGTGGTTACGTCAAACATTCAAAAGATCACAAGATTGGTTTGGATTAAGAAGGCCCTTCAGACCATCCAAACTCATTCCTGAATCACAATCTTGGTCTTAATTTGGAAGCCTGTTTCTTTTTAAGAACTGTGGAAAATTGGCTTCCAAATTATGATTAAATTTAAGAATCGTTCACAAATTCTGTCCCACATTAAATTTTAAAACCAAAATTTGAGAATGGGTGGAATTTTGCGTCTTGAACTCTAAGCCCCCAAAACACAAAGTTACGACACTTCATGGTATATACTGTGAAGAGCTTTGGGGTATCTTCCTGACATGAACGTCTCTATACAATAACAGCAACAAAATTACATTTGTATAGTACCTTTCATGCCGGGAGGATGTCTCAAGGCGCTGGACAATCAGTGTTTATACAAAATTTTAGCTTTGGTTTGACTTGGAAAATTCATTGAATTATTACCAAGCGGCCAGTGTAAATGGAGGATATGTTTAAAGTTGCCCATTTTACAGCATGGCTTGAATTGTTTCAACCGCACCAGTGGAAGCCTGGGCGAGGTTTTCATCAATGTCACCCAGTGGTCAAAGCGGATTCTTATTACCAGAATCAGTTCTGCATGACTGAGCTGGCTGCACCAGCCGCTTGTTTGATTTATGCCACCAGATCTAAACATAGGCGTGATGCCACATTCAGAATATTTTGCAATCCTACAAGTGTTTCAACTTTGTCGTTACATCAAGCCGATCAGATGTCAGTCTGGCTCAGTTAGTAGTCATCTCATTACTGAGTCAGAAGGTTGCAGTTCCAGCTTCCAGTCGGGACTTTGAGCTCTTAGTCTAAACCGATACCCCCAGTGCAATGCTGGGGGTGGAAATGCTGCATCATCGGAGGCGCCATTCTTCGGAAGAGATGTGAAACTGAGGTCCTCTATTTGCCTGTTCTAAGTGCTCCGACACGCCGTCCGGAGTGAAGGGCGTTATGTTATTGCGAGTTCTTGTCGTTGGGCGTTAAAGATTCTGCAATACCATTTGAAAAGAGAAGAGTGTTTCTCCTGGTGTTCTGGGCAAGCAGACACTGCTGTGTGCAAATTGTTTGCCACATTGAACTCCAAAAAATAGTCACTACAATCTACATTAGATCCTGTAAAAAAAAAGAAAAAAAAGTGCTTTGAGACTTTTCGAAGATATGATAAGGCGCTGTATCAAATGTAAGGACATTTTCTATTATTTTCTTAACAGAGTAAATCATTTTAACTTTGGCTAGCGTCATGTGCAAGTGCTCATTTCTGTGTTTTTTTAATGTAAAATTTGTGCAGTTTCCCTAAAGTCGTGTTCCACTTTCTGTGAACATACTATCCACAGTATTATTATTATTATGATGATGATATCCATGGGGAGAAATAAAGGCATCTTGTCTAATGAATGCACAAGCTGACAAGTGAAAAGGAGAGACTGTATGACAGACATAAGGACCCTTTGCTGAGTTTCTCATAATATTTGGCTTTCCTGCCACAATCGGCTAAAGGGTTTGGCTTATTGATTAATGATCACATTTTAAAATAATACATTTCTATCTGTAGCACCATTTTGACGGAGCTTTTAGTTATCTTTCCCCTCCCCACCCTCTTCAATTCAGCTCCAGCCCACCGCCCCCCCACCCCAAGCTCGGATGCTCAGCTAGCAGTGTCAAGTGCTCTTAAGATTTGCTCCTGACGTGAAAGGCAGTGTATAAATGTCAGTTGTGTTGTATTTAAAAGAAAGGATAGATGGAATAACACGTCAAACGAAGGGATGTTGAAATTGTGTTTTTACAGAATTGATTGATGTTTCGGAAATAAAAATCCCTCCCACCCAAAAAAAAAATTCAGGTCACTCAATCCACTGTTTGTGGGGACACTGCTGTGCGCAATTGGCTGCTGCGGTTCACCCGTATAATACAAGTCGATCCAATTTATAATATGTTCTGTTAAATGCTTCAATGACGTGATAAGCTGCTATATTTGAAGCAACGGTTATTTTAACACTTATATATAGATTCTTTGGAAACGAGGAGAAATGACGCCTGCGTTTTTTTTTCTTCAAGAACTTTTCAAAGCCACGATAAGGTGTTGTGTCAAATACGATGTCCTTTTGCCCCCTCTGTGTTTCAGGAGAGGAGTGTCAGAGGCAGAGAGTCGGTGACCAACGTTCCTCTGGGGTAATGGTGACGTCAGTGGCCGACGAGGAAGGTAGTGACCTTCATTATGTCTCCTACCGTCCCGCCCCTCGTCCCGGCTCGAGGACAGAGTCAATCGGACGGAGGAGTGAATCAAACGCGCGGCAAGAGGGAACAGTCAACTACGCCTATATCGTCAGCGAGGAAGACCGAGAGCCTGGGGCAAGGATAGAGAACATGTGTTCGCTTGGGGATCTCGATGGAAACGCCTCCAGGCAGGGCCTGGCAACCTGCGCCGCGACAGATTCGGCGCACAGAGACACCAGGCGCTACAGTGTGCACCGTGCTATAAAGCACCCAGCAACCAAGTCGCAACAACCGGAAAATAAATCCATTTCTGCACCACCCGTGGAGTCGAAATTTCCCACCGGCAGCGTCAGATCTGGTTTAGACGGCGTGGCCTCTCCATTCCTCTGCTACGCCACAGTGGAGTGGGAGAGCACAACAGGACTGGAGCGAGAGTGCAACGGCGTGGAATGCGCAGAGAGTGGGCTGAAGAGAGCCGCGGAAGAGAGCTGCGTGCATGCCCCTGAAATCAGTGATGCCTCCAAAAGCTCAGTAAACCCAGATGGAGGGCTGGAGTCAAAAGCACTGTGCGGGAAAAATGCTGGTAACTTAATCAACAGTGAAACCGTCGAAAGACCCATTAGCCAGTGTAATCCCTCGGAAGCCTGTGCTGCTTCAGAAGACTCGGACTCTGTCCCTATCTGAAACCCATTGGATTTTATTTTGTCTCAGTTCAATACCGAGCTCCCCAGCGACACGGCGCGCTGTAGGTGAGCCTTCGACGTTTCATTTGTGGAGAGCTTCGGTTTAGCCGCTTTGCATTTTGTAATCACGAGTGATATAAGTTCACAAATCAACCTTGTTGGTTCTTTTGGTTTTTTTAAATGATTTTGAGAAAACGCATAATTTTTTTTAGCGGGATTTTTTTTCCCCTACCTGTCAAAGGTCGAGGCTTGAAGGGGGTATGGGGTTAGTGAGGCCAGGGCGGTGGAACTGAAAGTGCAGCTTACTCTGGGAGCCTTTGCAGACTCAAGAACCGTCGAATGGCCTCCTTCTGCATTGCAAATTTTTAGGATCCAGAAGCACTATTGCAGCCCCCACAACCCCTCTAGGTCTGTAAGTGCTGTGAATTCCCTCTTGAATAAGAGGCAACGTTTACAGATCAACAACTTACAACAACTTGGATTTATTAGCGCCCTCCACGTCGGACGGCGTCTCAGAGCGCTTCACAGTAACGGATCCCGGGGCCGAGCCAGGGAGGGGGGTGGGGAAGAAGGTGACCAAAGGTGCGGTCGAAAAGAAAGATCACGTAATGAGCTCCTTACGAGTGCGTCTCCCGTCACTTAACCATTGCGCACTATTTTCAGCAAAATAAATTAGTTGAACATAATGGAGCTGAGTTGGGGCAGGACCAGGCGCGCGGTACCAGTTGAGCCTTTACACCACCGCCCTTGTGCTATTTAGTTCTGCTTATTGAACACCTCACTCAACGCAGGTTGGGAGCGAAGAGATGCTTCGCACTCTGCGGTGTGATCGTTGGTTACTTGACTGGCAGGTGTTTAGTGGTTTGACTCTCCAACTGTAATGAGGCACACTGTGGCCCCAGCACCGACAGCTAAAGCTTAAGAACCGAATGATCAGCTGCCCTACCACAACTTGGTAACAAAACTGAACAAGGGGAGGTGGGATTTAGAGCGCCAGCTCCAGTGGTAGAGCTAACACCAGCAGAAACACGCCAGGCAGAACGACTTCCCTCTGTGCTATAAAAATTTTCCACGATTCTATGAAAACGAAGCGATGTCAATGGATCATGAAATCGGGGGTCATATCCACTCAAAATTCTCACGTTTTAAAAATGAACCAGTAACTAAAATGACCTTCACAGAATAGAGCGATCGTCACAGGATAGTTTTTAAACTGCTTTTCGGTCCTGAGAGACCCAAGTTAACACCACATGAAACTTTACTGCTTGAATCACCTTCAAGTGAATTGACTGTATATTTTGTGGGGGAATCGCGGCAGCCAATTGCGCACAGCAGTGTCCCACAACAGTCGTGGATTAAGTGACTAAATTATTAAGTGACCAAATTATTATTGTTGTTTATTTCGTTTTGCAAAAGCCTGGAAAAGCTAGGTAAACAGTGGCACCAGGAGTAAGGAAACATGTCCAACGTTTTGCCCCCGAACCCGGGTCCTCTTGCTTGGGAGGCGAGTGCTCTAATCACTACCCTACAGAACTCCATACATATTGGATGTATTGCTAGCACTGAAACAGTCAGTTCAATCCCTCGTGCCTGTGCTCTCTCAAGTCCTGTTCTCATGACCTCCCCTCCCCACCCCTACCCTTTTATGCTTCTACTTTTCAGAATTTTATCTCATTTGCCGTACAAATACACACTTAACAATAAAAATAATTACTAATAATCCTTGCACTTGATACAGCGCCATTTACATCAGGAGGACATCTCAAAGTACTTTGCAGGATTTATTGTAAAGTGAAGTGGCTGTATTTGTAGGCAAACACGGCAGCCGATTTACGCACAGCAATGTCCCCAAAACAGTAGTGAAGTGAATGACCAATTGTATCTGTGGGATTATTGGCCAGGACAGCAGGAGAAACTTCCTTCTCTTTTTAGAATAGTCCCATGGGGTATTTAATGTCTGCAATAATAACTTGCATTTATATGCGCCCCTTGACACGGGTAGTGACTTGGAGCACTTACTGTGCACCTGAGCAGGCAGACAGGATCTCAGTTTAATGTCTCATCTGAAGAACGGCACTTCCAATAATGTGGTGTGCCCACGCACTACATTGGAGTGTCAACCTGGACATTACAGAAACGTCTGAGGTGCTTTGATGAGACGTTTTGACATGATAAGGTTCCATATTAAAATGCAAGGATTATTATCAGCGGTAGTAGTATTATTAAAAGCTCCAGGTCGGAGCTCTGTGTCCCAACAATTCTCTGTGTGTAAAAGAAAAATGTTCTCCTAATCTCTGTCTTAGTTGTAACTTAAAAATCATATCATGAGTCTCTCCTCTTGCCCCCACCCCACCCCCAAACACACACACACACACACAATAATGCATGAACTTGATAAGAGCAAATAAGATGCCGATTGTCAATGTGCCCACTTAAATCGTAGGTGCATTGCATTTTAAAGAGTAATCAAGCACTGGCTTTGCGAATGTGCCTTTATCCTCTGTGAACTTGACACCAGTGACAGAAATCTGGCAGATCCCATCGTGACAACATCAGCACTGCGTTTCACTGTGAAAATATGGATTACCGAATCCTGTCATTTGGGGTTTGAAATTGATTGATGTGATTTCATTTCATTTGTTTAACTCGAAACAACTAGGAAATTGTTGACCCATTGACTTCACCGTAACTCATTCCATTGCAATAAGTAGACGGAGGCTACGATTTTTTTTTGGTCTTCTCCTGGCCAACAAGCCCCCAAATCGTTCACCGCACGGCTGTCTGCGGGACATTGTTGTGTGCAAATTGGCTGTCATGTTTGCCCATAAAAATCACTACCCTTTACAGTATGTTCTGTGAAGCGCTTTGAGATGTCTTCCTGATGTGAATGGGGCTATAGCAAATGTAAGGATTATTATTACTAAGCAGGGAGCATTTTGCAGACTTTGAGGCAGCAACGGAGGGTTCAGCATGTGATTCGGGCAGTGGAGGAATCAGTCGGTCTTATTATTCAGCTCCAATTGTTCCTCGCTGAATTGGTTTTGTCTTTACGCTGACGAGCAACAGCACCGCTTCCTTTTGGGGCAGACAAAAGGTGGATTCGCTGGCATATGTTGCACAGAAGGGGGATGGCAGGGAGGAAGCAAATTAGCAACAGAACGATCACTGAGAATTAACGATGTTTTAGCGTGTGTGTATATAGGTGAAGCTTAACTTGAGCAACGGAAAAATGAAAACCTTCTACAGCTTCCATATGGCCTGGTACCTTAAAAGGCTTGTAATGTTTATGAACCTTCGAGCTTCAAACAGCTGGCATTGTGTTTGTGATTGTTAGCAAAGTCATCTGTCTAATTATACAGGAATGTAGTAAAATCCGTGTTATGTTTTGACAGCTCAGTCCCCTTAAGGAGTTCCCTTTAGGCTGCCAATTAGACCCAGGCTAGAGGAAACACTTGTAGAAATGATTTTGTGTCAAACAAATAAATTTTTGAGTCATTACTGCACTTTTTTGCTAGCTATAGTTAAGAAATGGACACTTTAAATGCTGGCTCCCTCACACTGGTACGCTTTGGATTTTGAATGTAACTTTTCTTTTAACAATTCTTCCTACACGACCCAGAGACACTGGTTTTATACATAATATATATAATCTTTTTTTAAAAAAAGAATCAAATGTATACCCTGTGTAATGCAATGAGAATTTAATAGCAAAAACGTTTGTGGTAGAATATATTATTTGGGAAAGATTTATTTTGAGAAAAAGAAATGTCGAAGGTGTGCCACAGTATTTGAATGTAACTCTGTAAAATGATTTCAACAAGGCATTAAATGAAAGCAATGCATTTGCATCAAAGACATTGTGTGTGACTAATTTCCACAAACTGATTTCCAGTAGTTGACTCACAAAAGCTTTAAACACTTCAATTTTTTCTCACTGACTGCTCTGGGATTCATTTATGTGGAAAGCACAAAGGTGGATTACAGTGTGTTATTTTTCGATAGGCACACATGAGTTATGAGGTGAGGGTCACAAATGTTTTTATTATATGTATCGTAAACCACCATTGCTTGTTATGAAACCAAAGTTCCGGCTAGGATTACAAGACGGTAAAGATCTTGTGCTGTTCTGCAGGTGAGGGTGAGAGGAGAGACACCACTGTTATGTCAAAGGTTTTCTGCAGACTAAACTGTTATCGCAGTGAAGTTTTACAAGGTCAGAATTTTCCACAAGAGTGTTGAATGACGCCCAACATTTCTGAAGCGTTTCTAAGGTATTAAGCACTCCGAGACTCTGCCCCGCGTGAAGGGCACAATACAAGTGCAAGTTGTTGTTGTGGTCGTAATCTTCACGAAAGACCTGAGGCTCAGAAACTCCTTGGAAACGTCATTTTTGTGAAGGTTCCAGCAAACACAGATGTATCTTTTATCCTGGTGCACAAATTGGCTGCTCGGTTTATTATTGTGAATTTCTGGCTTGCAGGTCAAAATACCTCACCGACCAAGGTATTTCAAGCAATAAAAAAATGTTAAATATTACTTTCTCAAACTGCAGAATCGAAGCCGCAATTTTTTTTGTTAAAAAAGTAGTTTTAAACCCAGCGGACTGGAGGTGAGTGGAGTTCATCTGGTTTTAACGGAAATTAAGCGCTCTTGAGACGCTATCCTGCGTGGAGGGCGCTATTATAAGCGCAAGTTGTTGTTGTTTTAAGGCGACATGTATGGTTAAAGTACGCAATAAGCCTAAAGATTGTTCATGGTCATCTCCCCCTTTCTCCACGCCCCCCCCCACCCCACTTGGTGTCCAACCCCGCCATTATGCAGCGCTCCGAGATGCTATCCTGCACGAAGGATACTATACAAATGCAAATTGCTGCTGCTGTTCATCAAGCAGTCTGGGTTCTCAATAAGGAATTTAGATAGTCTTAATCTATAGGCCAATGTCCTACTTAATAAATTGCCTTCACGTCTACATGAGGGAGAACAGAATAGAGGGGTTGGGAGAGTGCATTAAGAGGGGTGGAGGCTCATGTCGAATGTAAACACCAGCATGGGCTTGTTGGGCTGAATGACCTGTTTCCATGATGTAACAGGCAATGTAATTCTATGTAATAAGGTGACTCCAGCTGGACAGCTTCTGTGAAACCAAATGCTGCATTCTGGTAAGCTTACGCAGTTATTTATTTTTCTTCATATGTGTATGATTGTGGAAAAACCTGAGCTAAAGGAAACATGATGTATTACTGGGCTGATTTTATTTTAATGAAAATTAAAACAGCATTGGTTAAGAAAATCTGATTGAACAATCGTCATTAACTCCCTACAACCCAAAACAATTTGAAATACTTGCTACGTGTGTGTGTGTGTGTTTTAAAAGAATACAATCTAAAGTTCTCAACCGTCAACAGAGATTAAACATCGACTAAGGAGATTTGAGCATGGTACACCACAGAACATTCATTTCTG